TCTTAAATAATAATTCGACGAAAGTGTGTTCGAAGCGTGTTCGTTAGCAAATGCAAATTTATTCATTTACGCCGTATTCATGCATCTACATGCATTTGTGAAGGAATTCTTCGACCATGTTGTAACATACATGCCTGTTCACTATAAATCGTGGAAAAATAAATATCATTGCGCCCCCAATGCGCATGGATGAAGTATGTATATTCCTTCGTATATATGTATACTTCGTACAAAAGGATATTTGCAGTCGAGATTAAGGGTCTGTTCGTATGTAGCGTCGCGTCATGTCGCCCCATGGGACGTTTGATTAAAATGACGAGCCGATGAAAGGGGGTCACGTTCTTTCTATTTTTAACCGTAACTCTCGTTGGTAGACGTTTAATTCAATTCATTAAGGCCACCTACCCGCCGTGATTTCACGGCACGTGACATTTCCTGGCCATTTTCGTGCGTTCATCTCTTCACTGCCGGAGTACCTTTATGTTGTTTATGTTGTTCCTCGCACAAAGTGATTACCCTCGTCGACACACTTTTAACACTAAACGTACCAAGCGGGGTCAAATGACCCCTTTTTTTAAAATTTACTTTTAAAATCGTACATTCGTTGTTATTTCTTTCGCTGATCTGACTTTTTTGTAAATTCTTATATCATCTGATTATTCAATTTTTCGCTTTCTGTTTTTCTCTTAGCTGATTTTCTACCGAGAAAAATTCTTTGCATACCTTATGTACCGCGAGGGGTCATATTTTGATCCCTTATGGTAAGATAGGTATATGTAAAATGCCGGTACGTTTAGCGTTAATTATTAAATTTAATTGAATAATATTACTCTGTAATTTTCTTGTTATTAATGCGTTAAGATTAATAATATTTCAGTTCGGGGCGGCGTCAGTCCCCCGGGACCGACAGTTCGTTAGTCGTTCGACGCAGGACCGACACTTACAATATTCGTTTGGCCGGTATCGGACACTTTAGTGGACACTTTATCGAGTCTCATAAATATACTAAATTTTTATTAATACACGTAAAAAAACTACAATTTATATAATCATAAATAATACATTCTATAATACGTCTCGAGGCGTATTAATTGAACGGCCAACGATATTAAACGAGAGTCGTCTCAAAAACGACTAAGCCTTTTTTTTTCAATGGAACTTTTCACCGAGGCGAATATTAGATTTGCGCGCTAACGGATATTAAACTGCGTGCGCGCGCATCTTTGATAGTTTCGCAACGATTATTGCGGCGCTCTATACAGATACATCCGGCAACAAATTAATTCACTATCTCACTTAATTATCTTATCTTCCTATTTTTTCCCTTTCTCCCCAACGTCATTTGAAGAAAATCGCTCGACTGATCGTTTTACGACACGATCGTGTGAAGTTAGATTTAAATAAAATCGCGGAATAAAATCGATAATCGAGGATTGCATGTTGCAGGTACGTACGCTCAACCAAGTCCCATTTGCTTATCGTGCCTCGGCTTCGCGATTGTAAATTTCATCGTTGCTTCGCCGAAAAAAACATAAGCCGGCTTTGTTTTGTAAATTCGGTCGCTCTCTCGGGGTAATAATGCTTTCACGACTGTCATTGCACAATGGGAAACGCATAAATAGTGGAAAGCCAATGAGGAAAATTCAGTTTCATGTAACTTGCAATCATTAATCGAGATAAGTATAAAAAATGTACGTATGTTTAAATACTTACATTTTTTTTTTTTTATAATATATTACCATCTTTTTATAATATAAATATAGATACTTTTTATAATATATAAAAAAATATAAAAAATTTTTATAATATATTTTTATATTATATTGATATATTAATATTATATTAATATTTTATAATGTATTTTTATATTTTATAATTTTTATAATATATAATATATAAATATAATTACTGTTTTTAATATATAAATATAATTACTGTTTTTTTTACAATATATAAATATCTTTTATAATTCTTTTATAATATATTTACTTACGTAAACATGTTATAAAAAAAAACAATACTTTTTTCTAACGCTTACATTTACAAGAAACATAGAAATTATTTGGCAAATTATTGCAAATTTCCATTTATTATTTCACCGCGTGGATATCATTCTGTTATGAAATTTAATACCGAATTATCCCGAGGATATTTGAGTAATCGCTCAATTATCGAGAATTCGCGGATTTGACCGCATAATACAATTACTACCAATATGCTTCGTATGTTGAACGCGTTTGCAAAATATCGAGAAAAGAGCGAGAGAGGCAGAAAGAGAGGCTGCGTTATTTTCTACGCGTTGCATCGCGATGCATTCAGTAAGTCAACACGTGTGGCCTTGCAGTGCACGTACTCGTTTTGTTTCGATTAAACGGAACAGCTCCTTTCGAGCATCTCTTGTGAAATAAATTTGATCGATTCGTCACTTCTCATTTTTTATCTTCCTCAAAGGGAAGCTTTCTTAGCAGGTTTCGGAGTCGAAGGATTTGCAATTCATTTGGACGAAGATCTTTCTTAATTCTGTTGAATTCGAAAGGAATTCTGGTTAAAGGAAATCGGTCATTCTCAGTTGTTCGGGCTTTCTAGTAACAAGAAGACAACTCCAATATTTTAAATCATGTTCATTCCGAATGAAAAAAGAGGTACGTATAAGACACAAATAGTTTGT